GTGCAAGGTGATATTGATACCCAGATCTCACAGAAAGCAAAAGCATTTGCCCATTATTCATTTGTTAAGTCAGGGAATCAACTCCTAGTTGTAGATTTACAAGGAGTAGGGTATACTTTATGTGATCCTGAAATTGCTAGCAAACAGCTCTTTGATGCAGATAATAACATCTACTTTTGTGCTGGTAATTTGTCGACAATTGCAATTGACACATTCTTTTCACAACACAAATGCAACAGATTCTGCACTTTGTTATCTTTGGACAAGTGACATCACATAGAACTTTATGAATTTATGTTATTGTTTATGTAACTACTGGTAGTATGGACAAAATTAAGGGGGGGGGAGGGGTTCAAGTTATTTCACCAATATTTTAAAAATGGATTGTTATGTTTATACAGTGATGAACTTATTACTATTCTTAAAAGTTTGAAGCGCTGGAATTTGGTTGTATTCTTGATTCATCAAAGTTCTGCTTTAAAGTCAGAAATGCATCTGATGCTTCAGAAGGTGCAATTTCATTGACTTCAGGAAAGATCCTTTCACATTTAGCACAAAATTCTGGTTCCAGATAGTCACCTGTGCCATCTAAAATATTTGACACGTCAGCAACTTCTTGCAAATCTTCAACTTCAATAGGAATACCACATTTAACACCCCCATACTGCTCTGGAAATGCATAGATGTGGTTCGGAATCCCATCAGGTAAAGCTTTATTTCGTTGTTTTCTGCCTCTGTGGTTATTCCAAACTGTTTCTTTGAAAGTATTTAATTCTTTTTGGACAACTGGTATGTAGATGTATGCAAGCATTGACCTGAAATATATAATATTTAGATTTGTTCTTTGTATCTTTGTGAATCTAAGTTCATATGGATGATCTACCTGTCATTTTCACTTGATGGGTCATAGTCCCCATTCTCTACTAGCTCTTTTAATTGATCCTTAAAAAATCTCTCCATACGTTCTAACAATTCTTGCCACCACCTCTCAATTTTGTTTTGTGTTGATGGCCCATACAAAACAGTCTCAATTGCATCTTCATTTCCAACCTTTTCTTGCAAATAACAATGAATTGTAGCCATTTTTCCAGTCTCTGTTCCTTTATCGACACGGATTCTTTTAGGAAGAACTGAAAGGGACAGTATGTTGTAAATTCAGTATCTCAAGCTCAATAACTCCATAATTCTTCTATCATGTGAAAACCGAATTTAATAATTGTTTTCTTATTTATTTAAAAGAATGAACATTATAGCTTTCAATTGTTCACTTGAATTTGTGTCAATTTCACATTCCCCTCCTTTGGGACATTGATGTCTTGGCCATTGGTCTGACATCATAATGTGTGATACAACCATTTATCTCATGTTATGCTATCACACGTTGGACATGACTATTTAACACATGGCTATTACTATTAGCCAATCAGAGGCTGTGAATTCTTATAAATAAATAATAATAATATTTCATAAACTTACCTTGTGTCTCGGAAAGATAGTCATAATTAAACCTGCCAATGACCTCAGGCTTGTTGTTAGTAGTCCAGATTCTCAGCAGATTTATTCTCCCACTAAATGTATCTTGCCCTCCATATATACATAACAGGAACATGGACTTTTGAAATCCACACAACTTGTCATGCCCATCCAAAGACATGGTAAAGTCAGCACCCTAGAATGGAAAGACTCATTCAATCATAGATCTTCTAAGTTCTAACTTTTCCCTCATTAAAAAAACATTTACCTCAGCTACAAACAAGTTGTTTCTTTTTGGTCGTCTTGTTTGTCCAACATTGCCCCTTTCTTCAAGCCCTTCAGGATTAATTTCACTCATTACTGCATAAACAAGGTTTCTAGGTACGTTAAGTTTATGCACTTCGCGCACCTTCCTATGCAATGCACGGTAACCGAGTAAACGGCCGGGACCGTCCATCTCTTTCCTTACTGCGTCACGAACTTTATCAGCGTCAACTTCGTAATTTGTATACTTTATATTAAAGAAAGCCATTCTGCGGCAAAGACTACGTAAACTCCATGGATACATTGGGTATTTTTCTTTCATAAAATTTAATATCTCAAAACGCTGGTAATTTTTTCTGACATAGTCTTCTATTTCTTGCTTCAAATTTTGGTCATTCTTCCATTCTGCGGCCGCCATGTTTATTTCTAAAACAACCGCTCATCCTAGAAATACTTCATGTAATACATGAATATAAAGGTCACGTATGGAACGTCTGGGCCGATGGCACGCCTGGGCCACGGCGTTTTTTCCAAATCAATTTTTTTTTAATTTTTTAAACATTTTTTAAGCAAAAACAATCTGAAATCAAATTTAAAGAAAACAAATAAAAAAGAAAAACTGAAAATAAATTAAAAGAAAAGGACAAAAATAAAAGAAAAATATTATTGACGAAATAAATCAATGTGGCACACGTAGGCCACCATACATCTGTACCTTCCTACTGGAAAAATGAAATCATACTATCATCTTCAGTTATAATGGTGAACGTATTGCCAATAAACTTTGGAAAACAAGTGGTATAATCTTACTGGAACAAAAATGTTTAATCTTTATTGAATATTAACATAACTATAACATTTATTTATCAACAAAATAACCAATCTTGTATGTAACAAAGACATGCTGATAATCAAAGGATATCAAAACGAAATAATTTGAAAAAGTCTTAAACCTTCTTTTTCTCCCTCTTAACTAAGCTTTATGTTATCAGATGATGTGTGCCACCATCCCGGAACCTTACTGCCTTTTTTGTTCTCTTCACCTATTCTGCAAAAATTTCATGTCCTATCTCTTGTAAAAATACTTATATATGTTTTGATCTGTCTAAAATGTATTTAATACAATAAAATATTATAATATATAGCTTGTGTACTATGTTTATTTTATATTTTGACATAGATAATTGGAACCATATTGTAGCTCTTATATAGTTATAAGTTAATTTGTAACAATTGTCTGAATTAAACAAACTAGAGAAAAAAAATAGCACGTTATGTGTATGTGGGCTAAAGGGGAACATAATGAGTAATTTGTTGAATAGTTAATTGCAAATTGAGAGGCGTAGAAATAGAAATAAAAATAACCAGATGGGGTAGTTTGGAATTTGTTGGACAACCACCAACCATGTGGTGTGTTTGAAATTTTTTTAAAAAAGGGTTTTGTTTGTGTATGATGGGGTTCTTCAAGAAACTATGTAGTTGCGTTAGTAGTAATAGGTTGTGTAGCGTTACTGGTGGTGTTTAAATCAAGGTTATGTAAGGAGGTAGGTAGAAAAGTAAAGCAGAAGACAAGAGAGGCAAGCGTGCGAATCAGTATCCCTGTACGCGGCGTTTCATCCTTTTGCGGACTCGTCAGTGGGGAGCAGGGTTGGCTTTGTGTGAAAGAACAATGAAGATAAGAAGTGAGTAAAAGTGGTGTGTGTTTGTAGGAGAATCATAAAGAATCAAAGTAAGTTATCAAACCTGTGTGAGAGTGTATTCGTAAAAGGCAAAATGGTAAAATTAAACTGTGTGTCTTACCAAAGCTGTTGTTGACCTTAGATAAACAAACGCGGTGAGCCATCTCAGGGTTGATGTGAAATTGAGTGTAATTTTACTTAAGAATTGTTTGGAATTGCTTGACAGCAGAGCTTGTGTTCGAGCTTGTATTTGTTCAAGAGGCTTGATCAAAAAGGTGTCAAGGATTACATGTGTGTGCATAAAATGCGTTAATATGTTATGTCACTGAGGTCAGGTGTCAAAGTCTGTGTTGGGGATAGTGGGGGTTTCCGTGTCAATTATGGTTGTGTGTGGACATCCGAGGTTTAAATGTGTTTTGGTCGTGGGTTGTACTTCATGTAGTATGGTTGGTTATAATTGTTGAAGTTTTGTTTTATCACCGTAGTCATTAATTAAAAAAAGTATAGTTGTAGTGTTTTGTATTTTTGGCGAGGAATTATCATCATCTGTGGGTAGTAAACTACCCCGGGTCCTAAAAACGTCCGTGGGTCGATGTTTGGCAATGCATCAACCGTGAGGGTTTCAATCGTGAATAGGTTATCAATTTTAAGTAGTCAAGGTTTTTAAGGTTTGTATTTTGAAGTTTTATGATAAGCTTGTGAAACGTGCATATAATTGTGAGTGTAAGGTTGTAGGTATATAGATATCATTATTTAGTTGGTGTTTGAATTATCATCGGTAATTAGAAGTCAATGTAGACGTTGTCATGCATTTGAATTACTATATATATATATATATATATATATATATATATATATATATATATATATACAGCATATGGATTGTACATTATATTACATAAGGATTGTTCAACGTGACTATATTATAAGTGGCCATGTTCATGTGGTTTTATTTGAAGTGTATTTAACCGTGTGGTTGAACATTTAGGTTTTGTTTGGGCATCTGGTCACATTTATGGCTTAATTCTGCTAAGGACAAGTATTTTTTTTTTAAAAAAGTTATTCTATACTTATGTCAGCAGGATGCCCAGGATGCCAGATTTCATGTGACTGGTTAAGGTCATGTAATTTTGTTGTAGGGTTTGCTTGTCATGTGTTGGTTCTTGCATGTTCTCACTTGTAACCCAGTGTGTCCCAGTAAATTCTTTGGTTTGTTATATCCACTCTGGTGTTTTCAAGGTGGTATTCAGACACAATGTCAATTGGGAGTGGTCAAAATTTTTTTGTATCTCTGTGTTTAGGGTGGTGTGGAGGTTTTTGGTTGGTTTTGGTTAGGTTTGGGGTTGATGGAAGGCCTGAGGGATTTGGGTTATGGGATGTTATTATGTTTGGTTAGTGTTGTGTCTGGTATTAAGTTTTGCTGTGATAAGTGTGTCTCTCAGGTTAGTATTACATTGGTAGGCTACAATTGGAGGTTCTTCCCATAGACTCCTCATCTTTTGTGTAGTAGAAGGGTTTTGTCAGTTGGTTTAATGTACAGGTCTGATTCTAGTTTGTTGTTTTTGTTTTTGTAGATAGTTGTGTCAAGGAAGTTGACAGATTCCTCAGAGAAGGAAAAGTCAAATTTGATGGTAGGATGGGAATTGTTTATGTATTTAAGGAATTTTTCCAGTTTGTCAGTGCCATGTGTCCAAATTGCAAATATGTCATCTATAAATCTTATCCATTCAATAGGTATAAGATTTTCAGGAGCTTGTTGGAGGAGCTCCTGTTCAAGTGCTGCCATGAATATGTTTGCATAGGTAGGTGCCATCCCAGCTAGCACAATAACGTTGTGACAACGTTTTGCAAACGTTAGATTTACGTCGTGAAAACGTTGTGTCACAACGTTGTCAAAACGGAAATTTGTAGACTCCACCGGACGTCGTTACAACGTTGTGACAAACGTTTACAATGAACGTTCCCACAACGTTCTCACAACGTTTACTGATATATGTTATTTCGATTTATTTTACATATAGATGATTGGCATACTTAAAATACCACTATATACATATAGACAGGGCGCGTTTTGACGTTATTCAAAGACATTCTATTATGTATAGGTTCAAACAATTCTTTCAAAAACGTTGCAACAACGTTTTAGGCTAACTTTGTAACAACGTTTATAATTAACGTTGGCACAACGTCCTTGCAGCCTTTACTGATATTCGTTCTTGCGATGTATATATATATTACCTATTAATGATTGACATACTTTAAATGACATCAGACATATTATACACAAAGAGGTTCGACATTAACTAAAGCCATTTAATTCTTCATATAGTTTTAAACAATTCTCGCCAAACGTTGCTACAACGTTCGTAGATAACCTTGTCACGACGTTGATCGAACAACGTTTCGACAACCTAGCTATATATGTACGCCGTTCGGCGAGGTTTGCAATGGCTTTTATACTGTAAGAAATAAGAATATAAAACACATATTCACACAAAATTAGTTGGGTATATATTATACAATAATCTTGAATAAATGTTAAAACCTAGTAATATATACATTATTTAATTACACGACAGTTTGATAAAAATGCTTACACTGTGACTTTAAATTAATATTATCAACCAAATATGAATATGTTTACTATAGTTTTACGAACTTCAAGCAGTTATACTTTACAGTTTAACTTGCAAAACCATTCCAAATTTCGCTTAATTGTGAACATGGCAATTTCAGAATTTGGGATGCACAAATTAAACCAAAAGTAAAATACAAAGTATATACATACTGTATAGTAATAGCGCTCTACACAATTTTGTTTACTATTAAAAGAGCAAAACTCATGCAAACAAAGACACAAACGTCAAATATAACCATAACTGCGTACATGCGCTATCAATCGGAACACAGTCAGAAAAGGTTTAAAGGGAATCTACAGTCATTTTTGTTTGTTTACGCTACCTTGACGTTTGTTTACACTTTTTTCCATTTCATTGTTAATATACATGACGTTCACAATTAATTTCGACAGTACTACATGTAAGATACTGTCCAAAGAACTTCCAGTGAAGTTCTCTAACTTAAGGTAGCATAGATAAACAAAAATTACTTACGTAGATTCCCTTTAACTAAATTGTTAGCTAATGCCAGGGTACATCATTCCGACTCTTGAACTTCATTATTAGTGATCGTCTTTAACGGTGCACGCTTCTGTAAAAAGAAATTATTTACTAATTATGTGTGCAATTTAACCATTTAGCTAGATTCTTCATAACAGACATACAAGTTTCTATTTGTTTTGCATATCAGTCGCACTACAACCATACAGTGGTTTCTAATACAGAACATGTTTTAAAAAACGAAATCAACAAGGAGGTTAAACATACTTCAAATCTTGACCCTCCAGGCTTATTCGGCGCGTGTTTTAAACACTCCTTCAGCTGCTCTTCAATATCAACCTCGCTTGCCTTGGGGTGTACCTTCATGCAGGCTTCTGCAAATGACATGAATATAAACAATTGTACTGTAAGTTCTTTTGTTAAAAAAAAACAAACACGAATTACTACCTATTTCGCCTACAAGTTGATCCGGTTAGCCTATGTGAAAAAACCCATGCTGCAGTGGACACTGTATTTTGTACAGGTTAGTGGCTAATACCATTAATTATGAAATGAAACATGCATACATACTTTTTATAACCCCACACAATGAAAGTTTCTCAAATGCCATTTTTCCTTTTCTTCCCTTCATACTGTATTGGGACCATAACTTGTTGCTCCCTAGTTTGGCCATAATCCTCCTAGTTGTGTCTCCAACATTATGTCCACTTTAAGCTGACAAAACTTTGACCTATAGTAAGGCGCAGGAAAACAAGGGAAACATAAATAAATGCCACATTGATGACGATTTCAAAATGAAAGGACCAAGTTATTTTACATTTTTGTTTACCATTTTCGCTTTGAAAGAGTCATTCTCATTTAGCTTGTTGCAAACTGCTTGCACATCGTCAGTGGAGTCCATTTGTTTTCTTAATACATCCTCTAACAGCTCACCGCCACCCAGCGATTTAGATGCACCCACTAATTTCCTTAGCAAGGAAAGGGCTTCCTGTTGGTTTTCAAGCATCGCATCAAGCTTGACAAGAACAGACCTTTGAAAATCTATAAAAATTGAGATTATTAAAGCACATATTAAAATCTTTAATTACAAAATATGGATTATGGAATTAAGTGAATCATGTTAGCAAATTGATAATACATTGCATGGGTACATGGGTAGTCAATATGCAGCCCCTGATTGGTTTGATATCGGAAAATACATAGATAGTTTCTCGTTCAATGCAACTTTCATTTTATCCAAAACAGGCTAGGATATTATAGCGATATACAGTAGATGTCCATGACTCGTAGAATGACCAAATGAAACAAAATTTTAATATTTATAAATGGAAGTTGAACATTATTAACAAACTCCTAACGGCAAATCCAAGATCCACCTGGGTGCATAAAATTACAGAAACATAGTTTCGGGTGGACAGTACTTCTAAATCCTGGTTTCTTCTTTATTTCTTTAATGATGTAATATTATAGGATGACAAGATGTCTATAACCTCCCAGCCAGTTATTTAGATTAGATTTAATAACTCTGTTGCATTCAAAACATTTTACATGAATATATCAATATAATACTAAATACAAATAAGTATGTCATTATTAAAGCAATCAATGACCAAACACATTGTAGTAAGATCAGAATCAGAAATTTGATTTTTTTCAAGTATCAACATAGATACAAAGGTTTTAAAATTTGGTATCCCTCCTGATAATCTGGTATCCCAAATCTGGATTCTCAACTTGTATTCTAGGTACACACTCAAAATCATTCTAAGGCTTAGTCCTGGTCAAGCATTTTTATCCATTGCATTTTATGTTTAATAATAGTAGAATCCTTAAAGGAATTTAATTATTACAGTCTAAGTTAATCAAGTTTACTGATATTTACTGCAATGCTATTGATATGCACTCAAATCTTAACTTAAAATTAATCAAAATCACTTCACCTGGATTGGTATTGAATAAAATAACATTTACGATACAGTTATGACACATTTACGACTATATGGAAACCAGGCTTAAATTACCTCAAGTATGTTACTGTTGCCATGCAATTTGATTTTCATCTGAGACGCTCATAGTCCAGTCTTAAATTCAATTAGCAAATTGACAATGAATGGTAAATGGACTACATAAAGCAATAATGTTGAAAGCTAGACTTGTGCTACAGTGAACAAAAATGTTGGGAGACTGCTAAAACATTAAATGCTAGCCTGCTTTTTAAAAATGTGGTATCCCATTAGGATATAATTAAAATAAACTTAGTATCCAAAACCAAATTTCAGTATCCTGTGGATATTAGTGTACCACAAATTTCAGACCCTGTGTAATAATAAAACTCAACTAACCTATGTCAAATAATTAGTCATATAATATTAACCCACAACAGTCGGATAATATTAACCCACTACAGTAATATAATATTAACCCATTAAATTAAACTGCAGATATACCCAACTGTCACTGACAAGTAAACAGAGATACATAATAGGATGCACTGGCCCAGTGCACTGCCCCTAGTGCCCCTGGGCAGATTGTTGCTTAACAGGTTACGTTACAGAGACATTGTCAGATTTTTTGTTAACCTATTAAGCTACAGAGAGCTTTCCCATTGACGAGCAAAATCATTTGGCCATAGGCATGTAAAACAGTAAGGCTGGTTTTACACGACCAAATTTTCTTTGACAAATTTCTCCTGCGGCATGTAAAGAAATAGATGAGTATGAATTTCCTTGATTATTTGCTTTGCATGAGCAACGATATGGTTTTGTGCTTGAATACAATCAATCACATGCGTCAGGATCAGATATTTGTCAAAGAAAATTTGGTTGTGTAAAAGCAACTTTAAAGGAAACCAGTACTGGGGCACATTGCAGCTCAATAACTTAATGAAATAGGCAACAAAGGTCAAACATTGAGGACAAAATGTCAAATCTGCACAATCCATATATTTCAGTATCGAAATATAATTAAAAAAAACACATTCTATTTCAAATTAGGGGCCATACAATTTTCACATTTTTCCAGTGAAATTGCCACACACTGAGTTAAAACCTCAAAGACAAATTGACTGCCGCCAGCACAATAAAATTTAATATTAGTGAACACTCACAATAGCCAACAACAGTCCATTAAAGTATACAACATAATAATTGGGAGCTGTGAGTGATAATACTAGTATACCTTTGATTGTTAGCTCCCAATTATACTTTATATGGTCAAATAAAGATAGCTGTTTCTTCCAGCAAACATAAACATTTGAAGAGCAATTAAAGCAATATCTTTACTCCCAAAAAGATACCAATTATAAACATAGTTTGCTGTTTGCCGAATTTACTAGCTATAATATACCAAACCGTTCAGGTGTTCTCTAGAGTGGACTAGTCGACGGTTTTTGTCGATTTGTTATAATCCTAAATGTTTATAACATCTAAAATATAAAAAATATAATGTATAAATAAACTTTAACAAACCTTGTCTAGTATAGTTTCTTCTAACCAACTGATTCAAACAGATTCTTACAGATTGGATCACAACGTTCTCCTTCTGAATATTCACTCGTAAAGACGTAAACACGATTTGCAACTCTGTTGGCAGTTATCACGTGCTCGCGCACTGATGCATAACATGAATGACGTCATGCACCAGGGAAATTCTGGGGCACACAGGGGTAATTATTAATTTATCAGAATCGTTGATCGGGCAACTCTGACAAATCAAACGCCGCGTTGAAAGTGATAAAAACATTTACGTTTAGTAAAAATAAACGTTCAGTAATGCCGTTAGCGCAAATTTGCTGTTAATGTCGATTAATTGAAACGCACTGTCAAATCAATTCATGTGTCACAATCTTATTTCTTATTATACTACTTCTTATTATTTGGCGCTTACGTTTAAAAAATATATATAGATTTAACTGTTTTAATACTGGATCTATATTGCTTCTTTATAGACGTTCTTTCAATGTTGTGTAAACGTTCTGAAATAGATCGGAGTGACTGAGTAAGAACCATATTTCTTATGCGGTGTTGTACTAAACGGACATACTTGTCTAAACATTGCATTTTGGTTTGGTCTAACTTTACCAACATACAACCTTAATACAACGTTGCAAAAATTTTCCTAACGTCGGTGTTTGGTTTTGTCAACACGTTACTTGAACGTTGCAAAACAACGTCTTTTAAACGTAACCACGAAACCTTCACACGACGTCGGTGTTTGGTTTTTTCAAAACGTTATTTGAACGTTGTGATAAAACTTTCTTACGATATTCTGATGCTCATATGTCAAAAGTTCTGTCATAACGTTGATTCGACGTTATTACAACGTTCACGTTTTGCCACCTGTAACTTGATCTCCCATTTGGAAGATTAAAAACGTTGTGGGAACGTCATATTTTAGTTAGGTCCGACCTAACCAAAATACAACCAAAATATAACGTTGTGATAACGTTATGTGCTAGCTGGGATTGGTGATCCCATAGCAGTGCCGTGAATTTGTAGGAAGTGTTCGTTGTTAAAAGCAAAGGCGTTCTTCTTAAGTACAAGGGATAGGATGTCATAAACTAGTTTCTCCATTTCAGGGGTAATTGTGTTGATTTCTTTCAACATGTCTATACAGGCTTGGATGCCTTGATCATTAGGTATGTTGGTATAGAGACTTCTTACGTCAATAGTAATAAGTATGAACTTGTCTGGTAGTGTGTTATTCTGAGCAAATATCAGGCATAGAAAGTCTGTAGTGTCCTGGACATATGATGGTATGTGTTGTAGGAGTGGTTTGAGTAGATGGTCAGCATATTGAGAAAGCTTGACTGTTGGTCCACCACAACCAGAGATAATAGGTCGACCTGGAATGTTAGTTTTGTGTATTTTGGGTAGAAGGTATAGTTGTGGTGTCCTGGCTTTATTGTCAGTTGTGAGATATTTAAATGTTGTGTTGTCAATGGCCTTAGATTTGTGGAGTTTGAGTTCTAGGGTTTTGGTTTCAGTTAGAATTTCAGGGGTCGGGTCATGTGTTAGTTTCTGGTAGTGTTTCTCATTATAAAGTTGTCTATATGCCTCAGTAAGATAATCTTCCATTGGCCATATCACAATGGCTCCTCCTTTGTCTGCTGGTTTGATTATTATATCATCATCCTTTTTCAGATCATGGATGGTTTTGAGGCTTTGTGAGGATATGTTGGTTTTTTAGTTTGTTTTTGTGTTCCAAATTCAGTTTTGAGATCGTAGAGTACATTTGATATGTATCTTAACAGGTTGCTGTTGTTGGGGTTTGGTGCTGTGAAGTTACTGGGTAGTTTAAATGGATGTTTTTTAGTGTCCTTTCTGTTTCTGAAGAAATATTTATTGTACATGCTGTTTTTATATTTCAGAAAAGAGTCATATATGGTCTTGTATGGTGTGTTTTTCGGTGTCGGGACAAAGGTAAGACCTTTTGACAGGGTTTTTTGTGCTTCATGTGAGATTGGTTTGTTAGAGAGGTTAACAATAGTATTGTGTTGGGAGTTATTTTTGAGTTTTTTATGTAGTTTATTTTTGCTTTTGTGTCTGTTGTTATTTGTGTTCTGTTGTGTTTTCAAATATTTTAGGATGTTTCTTTTGTTGTAATTGTTTGTATCTGTGTTGAGTTTTATTTGGTTTTTTGTTATTTGTGGTGTGTGGGTTTGTTGCGTCTTAGAAAATCCAGGATTTGTTGTTGCGTGTTGTAGTTCAAGTGAGATGGAATGTTTATGTGGGGTGCTGATTGTTGCTCATTGTTGTTTGGTTGATGGGTTCGGTGTCTGTTGTTATTAGGTTGTCAATAGTGGGTTGGTATTCGAAGTTGTGGTGTTCTTGTTACTGTTGTTGTGCTAGTTGTTCCGGGTTTGTGGTGGTGTGGGGTTGCATGAGGGGTTTTGGTTTGTGTCTGTTGGTCGGTGTGTGTGTGGGTTTGTTGGTTGGTTGGCTGGTTGTTCTGTATGGTGTCCTATGGGGTGAGGAGGTTGTTGGAGTGATTCTGGTATTTGTGTTTTTAAGTCGTTTTAGTTTTATGTTGCGATTGTGGGAGGTGCTAGGCAGGCTTGTTTTGTGTATTTGGTTGCAATGGCATCTGTTTGTTGTAGTATGTTGTTGGCAGTCGTTGTGTCACATTTGTTGTTGATTTGTGCAGATTTATGTTGTATTTTAAACTCTGTGTTTGTTATTTCCTGTTTGTGATATTTCCTTAGCAGAATTAAGCCATAAATGTGACCGGATGCACGAACAAAACCTAAATGTTCAACCACACGGATTAAATACACTTCAAATCAAACCACATGAACATGGTCACGGATAATATAGTCACGTTGAACAATCCTTATGTAATATAATGTACAATCCATTATCCATATGCTGTATATATATATATACACACAACCATAACTGACACGTAAACCCCCACTATCCCCAACACAGACTTTGACACCTGACCTCAGTGACGTAACATATTAACGCATTTTATGCACACACATGCAATCCTTGACCCCTTTTCGATCAAGCCTCTTGGACGAATACAAGCTCGCACACAAGCTCTGCTGTCAAGCAATTCCAAACAATTTTTAAGTAAAATTACACTCGATTTCACATCAACCCTGAGATGGCTCACCATGTTGGTTTATTTAAGGTCAACAACAGCTTTGGTAAGACACACAGTTTAATTTTACCATTTTACCTTTTACGAATATACTCTCATGCAGGTTTGATAACTTACTTTGATTCTTTATGATTCTCCTACAAACACACACCACTTTTACTCACTTCTTATCTTCATTGTTCTTTCACACAAAGCCAACCCTGCTCCCCGCTGACGAGTCCGCAAAAGGATGAAACGCCGCGTACGGGGATACTGATTCGCACGCTTGCCTCTCTTGTCTTCTGCTTTACTTTTCTACCTACCTCCTTACATAACCTTGATTTAGACACCACCAGTAACGCTACACAACCTATTACTACAAACGCAACTACATAGTTTCTTGAAGAACCCCATCATACACAAACAAAACCCTTTTTAAAAAAATTTTATTTCAAACACACCACATGGTTGGTGGTTGTCCAACAAATTCCAAACCACCCCATCTGGTTATTTTTATTTCTATTTCTACCCCCCTCAATTCACAATTAACTATTCAACAAATTACTCATTATGTTCCCCTTTAGCCCACATACACATAACGTCCTTTTTTTTCTCTAGTGTGTTTAATTCAGACAATTGTTACAAATTAACTTATAACTATATAAGAACTACAATATGGTTCCAATTACCTATGTCAAAATATAAAATAAACACTATGGCATTAGAATAAAGACTAGAAAATAATATTTTATTGCATCAGTTGATATTTACTTGCCACTTTATCGCAGTTAATAATGTTTTACAGGCTACCCACATGTACGCATGGCGTACCTATTTTTTATCTATGCATGCAGTAGATCCTTACAATGAATTAACTAAAGTTCATTAATATTTTTCTTCCTTATCTGCTCTGTTTCTTTGAGTCTTTGTTGTTTACTGTCCTGTCTTTTTTATTGTAGAGCCTCTTCAACGTTTCACATGACTGTTGCTCCGTTGGTCCACTGAAGATTTGGATTTTGTGCACGTAAATATAGTAAAGGTTGAGGCACACTTGCACATGTCATCAAGCAAACATATAAAGCTACAGCATACACATTTTCATGCATATGACAGTTGAGATAAGCAAAAACTTAGGACTGTTAATCCAGGTATTAGTTCTGATAGGGTGATAAATGGTTTCACTTCATCACTTATTTGTTCCTACAATATGTCATACATAAAAGGAAAAGTGGTTAATGATTGGGAATGGCTGAAGATTATATTTACACAGGCATCTTGTGGCAAAAATCAATCACTAATCCCTGTCATGTCAGTTACTTTCCTATTTTTACAACTATTTTAATTGCTGCCGCAGCGAGCGAGCCTGAAGCGAGCGAGCAAGGCAGCAGATCCTAATCTATACATTAGGAGGGAAAATCTCGATTTTACTAAGCGCATTGCATTGTGGTAGCTCTTATGCATTCTTTCACTTGTACCTGCATGCAATGCGGTCGGACGGCATGCTATTTTTGGCTGCTGCCTCAGCATCCTAATTTGACGTTTTGGTTCCTTGGATTGTGCAGTGTGCTCACATGACGCATCACTGTTGTATAAACGGACACAAAGCGACGTGGTGAACAATGCCGTTCCTTCCCTCCCTGGCAATTGGAATCTTGTGCTTTAGTCTTTTACAAATATTTGCGCGTTTGGAATTTGAACTTTAATCTATTGTGATTTTAAGGTGTCGTATAACATTTGGCTGTCACTTGTATAGTAGCTTTGTCATTTTTTAAAGGGTTTGAAATATATTTTCTTTTACTTTTATCATTGGGGTAAACCTGTGCCGCCTGTGCGGCGTAACTAAAGCATGTATAAGTATTTAAGTTAGTTCTTTGATTGTTTTATCTAAGGTTTCTAAAGCCTCAGGCCTTTAGTTTCACAAATACCTTGCGCATTTGGAATTTGACCTTTGATCTATTCTAATTTGAAGTGTCGTATAACACTTGATTGTCGTATACATTTGACTGTAATTTTTGTGTAACCAATATGAATTTTTTGCAAGTTCATGCAATTAGTTATGTTCTGTTACGTTTTTCAAAAAAAGCGGTCGCAAAATATCGCCCGCTTGACGTTTTGCCCAGAAATAATCTTAAGAGTAAGACAGTTCACTGTCTTAAGAATACAAATCTGAGTCGTACTATTTTCGCTCAGCCTGCGTGCAGACGTTTTCTTTTTATGTCTACACATAGGCTACTTTCGCTAGAATAAATATAAATGGCAGGTTTGGCAAGGAAGCATTTTGCGCATGCTATTTCTAAACGAGTACAGGCAGCACACTGCCTTTAGGTAACCTAGTATGCATATATTTGAACACAACAAAGCCTTGCATAACAATAGGATTGTATATCATAAACCTGTTATTGTAAATGATTTTGATACTTTGCTTTATGGTTTTTAACTTTGCGTGTTTTTTAATTTTGTGTGTAAATAGGGAAATTGAAATTATATGTTCATATCACTTGAGATAATTTGTGTGATTCTGGGGTTAAATGACAGAGTTTTGGGCCACAATACCACAAAAAAGGCCTGACAATAACAGATATGGAGCAAGGCTGTACTTTTAGGCTAGATTTAAAAGTTTTTCGATATGGAATCATTTGCCTTCATGCCTTGAAAGCATAAGGACTGTCCGATAAACAGCAACATGGCAGAAAAATATTTTGATAAACATTTTGCAGCAAGTTCTACGTGTAATGTGATGAATCGGCTGTATTTTAATTCTTTAAAGGTTCTGTCATTTTAAAGGTTCTGTCATTTTAGTTTGTCTTCATTCAACATATTTTAAAGCGAAGTTTAAAAATCTGAGCTTGATCAGAAAGTATAAATAATCACAGTGATTGTTTATTATTTATATCGTTATGAGAATATCATATCATAATTGTATAGGTATTGCAAATGTATTTATTACCCTACTTGTATGTAAATACTATATATTTGTATTGCTACTGTGTTAGTTGTCTATATATAGAAATAAAATTGATAAATAACTAATTCTAATCTGGACTTGTGTGTTTTAATCTGTATCTACTTTGTTTATTTTTAGCCAAAAAAATGTAAACAACATAACAACTTTTTCTGGTTCT